TTTATGGTTTCTTTCTACCCGTTTTTGAAAAGTTAACCGATGGATCAGCATAATCAACCCCTGTCATCGGAAATGATTGGTGAATTTAGTTCGTCTCCCTCGTTGCTTGTTTCAATTTATCCACATTTGTGTTTCATTTCTGTTCGTTCATTCTTTAGAAGCTAACTTATAATTTCTTCTGTCAATTCGTTCTCGCTTATGTGCGTGAAAACTGTTTTTCATCTTTTTATCTTTTCGTTTGGTATTTTTCCTCTAAAAACACTGAAGTTCCATCTACGTGTCCATCTCCGGGACTACAATTCCAGTGCAACGACTCAGTGACATGTATTGCCATTTACGATCGATGTAATGGGTTGATTGAATGTCCTGATGGCTCGGATGAAAGCAATTGCCCACTCGGTAAGTCAACCGTGTACCAGCTTAGAATTAAGTATGAGTATTAAGGATGTGTGTTCTATTACTTTGGGAATAATCCATTTGGAGCCATTATTTCTACGAAACACTTACATACATGAAGCGTTTTTGCATGAGAGTAGAAAACATTCAAAGCGATCAGATATTAGTCGTAAAAGTTGATATCTATCTAGTAGACCACCATTCGCACATACATATGAATGCATGAATTCGGCCTTCACGAGTTGTGAATAAAGTAGGTTATGTTGAGATATGCGTGTGGTGACACTCTATGAGGACGGACAAAATCGATACAAGGTACTTGAAAGTTGTCTGTCCGATTTACTGTGGCTTGTATGTGAGATCCTCTTTATTGGTTCTCGGTTTCCGAGTGTTAGTATCATGCCCTAGATGAGATGTTGTGCTCTTAGCATTTCTTTTTTGTTGCTTGTACAGGTGGTCCTACCAGTGATCGAAATGGGTATGGCTTGAACAAAGGAGAAGGAAATCGTTCCCAAATAAATCCTCCTTCGGAATCACGCAACAAAGCAGATCGCCTCTCATTCTTGCTTAATCCTACTTCACGTAGACATGACCAAGACCAAACAGAATCTTCGTTATCCCATCGTTTAGCAGACGCGGATGAACTTCTAAATCTTCCCTACATGTCCTCACCCCATTATCGGTTACGCTCTGGTCGTTTGCACGGAGGACCTTCTCTGTCCATCCACGAGCGACCTGGTTCGCTCAGAAGTGAAGGTTACCCCAATCGACGGTCAATCTTGAACCCTGTTTCTACCGATCCCAGTTGGTACTTGTCAGATTCCGAATGGGATACTACAGGAGACGATCAGTTGCCCGAATTCGAATCCCATTACCCGATCTCACACTTATCGAACGACCACCGTTTACCACTCTACGATCGAGAATCACATGATCACTACGATCGCGGAACGTTGCGTCGAAAAGTTCATAAGCATTGGGCCAATGCGGACTACTTCAACCCGTCTGTTTCCTCTCGACAGGATTCATTCGATGGTTCTTCTCCAGAGACTGGTTTACATCTACGCTCCTATCCACGAATGATGGTGATGCGTGATGAATTGGTTGATCCCAGCGTGTTTTCGGACTCATCTGCGGGTGGTGGCTGGGATCGCCCAGACAGACCGCATCGTTCTGGACACTCCCCACCGGGAATAGCGAAACCTCTGCGTGAGTAATGCACAAACTACTTGATCCCAGTCGAATTTTATCAAAACACGATTTTCGTATTCACCAACGGATAATATTTTACGCCTATTTCATTCCCATAAAACGATTCTTAATCGACAGAGGATTTTTTATGTTAGGTTGAATGAATAACAGAAACTACGGTGGGAGATTTTTGAAACACTATACCACCAGTATGATCCTAATACGCAGCTCTGGAGGTCAGCGCGTGCCGGTCAGTGGGACCACTTGCCATAAAAAAACAGCAGATTATCCACAATGAGAAACAACGACTGATGATGATGATGATGATAATGTAACAAAACGCGAAAGACTGGTCGGTTTAGCACCTTCATTGTTACCATCGTCTTGTTTATTCTGTGACATGTGGTGCTTGAAAATTCTCAGTTTAACTCCGACCACTTCTGTTCTTAAACAGGTGTTCGTTTCAACTGTATGCAAAATATGAAATGAGGTAGTTGAGTACATTTTGGGTGGTAAAAATTAGCGTTAAACCTCTTCTCCAGGAACTAATTAAATTGGCGAAACCCGATCTTGATGTGTACGCCTTATATGCTTTTACCAATGCATTTCTATTTCTGTTCGACTACCGCGCTGATTTTACCGTGGTCCCTCTGATTCCCCCATATGGTTGCCGCCACCTTTCAGCGGAGCAAGCCAATTCAGCAGGATCTTCGCAAACGACGGGGGAACACCCAGACCAAAACACAGGTGCGTATTTCTGCTAATCGTATGGTATATTCCTCAGCTGTGTTTCTAACT